TTCCTGTATTTCTATAAAAAAGTTAAATACAAATCTTAATTTAACTTAATATTTCCTATACCGCGGTGTATGTTGTTAACCTACGCCTCAGTAATCAAGCCAACGATATTTTATTGTACACGAGTTTCTAGAAATAGCCATCGGTGTCAGGGACCCGTGGCCAACTGTTTGGTGGGGGAAAGTCAATTCTAGTGATTACATACACCTGTTATGTATTAAATCAGATTTTTTGTAGACAATTTATTAATAAAATTCATAGTAAAATTGTAGTTAATATTTACTTAGTAACCTTTTTTGCATAACCATCCTTTTTTAATATTAAGACAGAATGGATGTAAAATGAAATGAAAACTTCAGATAAAAAGTTTAGATTGCAATTTTAATATTACGTGTATACTATAAATATGATATTCTAAGTAACTTTTACTATTAAACTCTAGATTAAATCTATTATAGGCTCGTTTGTGGAATACTGTTAAAATACACAGTAAAACTAAACTAAACCGATATTAAAAATAGTGGTTTTAGGAAAGCCTTTAGTGCAGTACAAAAATAAATGTCATAAAACTGTCAACATAAAGTTATCTTTACACAATTGTAAATAATGAATTATTTATCATGTAAATATATTTTTAATCCAACGCCCGAATGAAGTAAACAGAGAAACGTCAAATCAATAGCGAGGTCATTACACCCTGTCAGTTATTTCGCGACATTTATACTATTATAATAAATTGTAAACACACACTTCTTTGTTGCCTAAGTTGTCAGCAATTACAGCATATTTTTGATTAATTCTTCTTTTAACAAAAAGCCCTATACTTACGTCATGCTTTAGGCTATATATTTTCACGCCATTAAACATAGGGGGTTTATATTTTGGAAAAAAAACCCGAATGTGGGAAAGAGACCATAAGTTGCTGCCAACATCAAGGAAGCAAAATTGCCATAGTAAGGTAATTGGTATTTTGACATTTGCAATTGATTATTTGACACATGTACACAATAAAATAAAATTTTCATAATTTTATGCGGATGAAGTGGCAGGGGAACAGCTAGTTGTAAAAATTGTAGTATTTCCATACATACAAAACATTACTCTGGTCTTAACTCACTCAAATATGGTCAACACAGTTATACCCCAACTTTCAGTTTCTTTTTTTTAATACGTATAAACTAACGCTTGACCACGATCCAACATGATTTTAAGTTGTCCTGTGGTCGAAAGATGGTACGCACTAACTTAAGTACTAATTCACCCTTTTCTTGAAGGCACCCACGTTATATGGATGGAAACACTGACCCTAGCAGCTTATTCCATTCCTTTGATGCGCACGTGAAACGATGTCTCCAATCGCTTCGTTCCAACCTTCGGCACGTCAACTATTTATGTCTATTATGTCTCTCAAGACGGTCGTGTAACATATCCCATATGGAAAAGAATAAAGTAGTCTATTTAATTAAATATCTACAATAGACTATAAAGAATGAACAGTTTAATTGGTGCTCATAGCTTTCTGTAATCGACCTAATTGTCGGCGCTTTTTGCGGTCAATGCAAAGCATAGCTCCGCAAATAAACAATTCTCGGACCATGTTCTGACCATTTGCAATGTTTGAAATGTCGATATTTTTTTTTTATTTGAGTCATTAAGAACAAAAGATGGCGATTCATTTTGTGGCGGATTCCTACTTTATACTACCGAAAGAACATTGTAACAAATTGCAAGCATAATTTCAGCACAAAGTTATATTAAAATGTGAATTTGAGCAATGATAATATACTTTTACACAATTCCGACAGTGGAAGCCCAACATTATAATCTGTAAACCAGATTTGTACTAACTTTTCTAAAACAAAGTCAACTCGGCAATGAGCTCAGCTCTCGACAAAAGCGCGTGTAGCAAAAAGAATATTCGCTAATAAATCCGTTCATATTTATTTAATTTCTAAATGTACATATAGTAATCTGATTTGTTTTAAATGAGATTAACGGTATTTTAAAAAGACAAAAAATTATTATCGATGAAAAAGTTTATAGCTGGAAAGCAAGATTATTCCGTTTTCTATTTTCAAAAAAAAAAACAAAACATCAATTGCCATAAAAAATACTATAAAATAATGTCAACTTAAAGCTACTGGTTCCAGAACAATATTTAAAACATCCGTCTCGTGGGCTTACCTAATCTACTTCGTAAATTCGTAGAATATAGAAGATAATACATAATATTAGGCTTTCATATCAATTCATGCGTACAAATGATAATCAATGACCCAATAGCACGCCGGGTTATCTACACATTAACATGTAAAGGCGATTCCGCGAAAACTATAAGCGTAATAGAACAATAAACATTAACAATAGACATTGCATTAAGAGCCTCTTTGATGCTTAAAATAACGTTGCAAAAAACGCCATTGTTTCCCTTCGTGGATAAACAAAGGCAATGTCGATTCCCGGTAGACGATTTACCTCCGATGTTCCCGGTAAACTGAACAATGTACGATTGTCTGCGAGCGCCGAGCCAGGGGTACTCAACGCGGCCCATTGCGAAAATGAATAATGTTAACCCAGAAAAAAGTATGCAAAATTATTGCATTTGTAACATTTCTGCTGTCGACACAATTGTATCAAAATATTTTTTTCATCTAATACTAAGTACAAATATTACGATCTTACTACACTTAATATTCCGAAAGCCGTAGTTATTTATCAAGACTTCTGTTCGGTACAGATCGTATGGGTTCGTTTAAATGCGGGTAACCGGGCGTATTTTTATTCTCCCGCACTAGTGGGTAGATTCGAATCTCGGGCGCGGGGTCTACCGTGAGGTGTGCGGGAGAAAAAGGTTAATGGTGCGAGTTCAGGTCCTCGGAAGTGGTTGCTAATCCGACGTCGCGAAAGACACAACGGAAGTGTCATATTCTCTAACGAACGGGGACACTTTTAGTTTCAGTTTCGCGTTTGGAACAATAACGGTGCACACGGGTACATCTGCAGCTAGCATCGCTGGCGCCTATAGACTGGACTCAGTTGACACTGATAGACTAGTGTCTAGAGTGCCTAGTGGCACTTGCAGGAGGTGAGGCAGTCGTCGAGCTGGTGATTATCACAATCCCTTTTTACAATATTATGCCCTCCGGTGGATTCGTAGTTCAAGTGTAGGTTGTGCCGTTGGATTTGAACCCGTTTTATACGGCACGAGTTCAATTATTTGATAAGAGCCTGTGGTGTAAACATATGCAATATGTTGACCTATAAGATAAAGTAGCCTTTCCATAAACTACGTCAAAGAATATGTATTTATTATGCGTAGAGAGGCAACATTATCAAAAATCTAAATTGTATTTTATACATTTAACACACAATTAGCTATCAAAATGATAAATACCAAGTATTCGTAATATATTATTGACCGACTTCCCAAAAGAAGGAGGTACTCTCGTCTGTATGTTTTTTTTACGATAAATGTTCTTTGAAATCTTGAATATTCAATGTAATTTAACGTGAAATAATAATATTGTTGGAGCTGTTTGTGGCTTTATGTTACAGTTCGATGAAATAACAGAATTCAAGGTCGACTGAAAGCTTTCGAGAAAAGCTACAAAATTGCTTTATTTAATTTATTATTTGCTTATATTTCTGTCTATTGATTTATCTGTTTAAAGCCATACTCATCGAACGGTTGTTTAAGTTGTCCTTTAGTGTACATTTATTACAAGACTAACTCACGCCCGCGACTCCGCACGCGTAAAATTAAAAAAAAAAACAAAAGAGTTGTTCCATGGTTCATCTAGACTATCCTCTACATCTATACCAAATTTTATCGAGATTCGTTTAGCCGTCTAGGCTACAAACACAAAAAAAAAGTCCCTCCATCCAATATTAGTATGATTACACTGACTCACATAGTGGTGACTGTGAGTAGCTGTCAAACTTTCACAAAATTAAAAACCAAAACATCCAAATCCAATCCAAAACGTGACAAAACATTTCTTAGAAGACTTTTTCGTCATTAAATAAGATTCAGTTTCGCATAATCTACTCCCTGTGCTTGAGATTTAATTAACTTTGAGAAAATTCAATCTCGTTTTGAACGATAATATTTATGTAATGTTAAAGGACTTTTTCATTTTTATTTTCAACGCAATGAGCATAACATAAGAAAATGTTATCAGCGACTTTAAGTAAAAAATAACCATTCTATAATAATAATTATTTTTATAATTCTTCTATAATATACCATAGATAATATTTATTTCTTAATTTGTAACATTAATTAACATTAGTATTGATCGACTGTTTATATTTAGAGGTTGATGTTCCCTTGATTATTTGTGTACGAGCTTGTACTCTATTGAGGTTAATTTAAAGTTCATTTTTGCACAAGACTATCTCTTTATTGCTGAGGCAAAGAATGCCTTACAGGTTTACATCTCCGATTACTTCTATTTATCAAAAGGAATGTATAATGGAGGAGGTATGATATAATTGTTTGTAACATTATACTGTAAATGTGCCTAAAGTTTTTTCTATTTAATAACAGTTGGATAAATAGTTCAAGAATTGATTCTACAAATTGACCGTCCACCTAATAAATAGTTTTCGAGACTGATAGGACAAAATTTCGATTTACTTAGTTTACTAGGCGTCCAGTAGGGTCCTAGAGCAGCTATTTTAACTGTGTTTTATTACTAAAAGACCTTCAGATTTAGTAGATTATTTGTATGTAAGAAAGGTGTTTTAGTTACAATCGTATAACGTAGCGTGTTCGTACTATAAATGTAAACAAAGTAGGTATGTATGAATGACCCGGAGACCTGAAAGATATCGCTTGTCGCTTGGCGCCATTACGTATAGTCTGAATTATGTTTACATAGTTGTTTGATAGGGCTGTGCTGTGACATGCTGATCAACTAATTTGTCATAAAATCGCTATCATTGTGTGAGTACATTTAAGTAAACATTTCGCATAGTGGTAATCTTAGAGGAATCTTACCTGGTAGTTTGACCACCATTGGAGGAGCGGTGGGGTGATTGGGATCCAATGTAAAAGCCGTAGGTAACAACAAAACACGGAAACACACAGTTCCACTTATAATTACTAATATTTCCTCAAAACCACTTTACTGCCGTTGCGCTTCTCGGTAAACTCTTTATAAGCAGTTTCGTAGAAGCCGAGCGCACTGGAGAAATTATTTTGTAGAAATCGACGTCGCCGGCGGCGCTTCGTCCGCGTGCCGTAGCAGAAACCGTTTCTAAGAACGCGCACATTCAATTTCACTCAATGTGGTGTATTTATCACAAATAACGATATCGCCGCGGGAGGTGAAAGTTCGGCGAGTCAAGTCGCCGCAGCGATAGTTCCCCTTTCATGTACGAAAGTCGACTGACGCTGGAGCGGCGCGACGCGCCACATGAAGTAAACACGCGCGGCGGTCGGTGGAGGCAAGCGGCGAGCGGTGAGGGGCGCGAGGCGCGGCGGGAGGCGAGCGCTATTCGCTCGCGCTCGGATGCCGTTCGCCGCTCGCCAGCACGGCCACGGCGCAGCGATCGTCGCCTCGCTTTGCTAGAGTCACCAACGCGCCCGCACTTCCCAGAATTACCAACCTTGGCGCTTCTAAGAACTACACCAAGGCATTGTCACTAATTTATATAAAACTTGCAGCCGCACTAGCACGACAGCCGGCATGGGAGGTGGCTCGTGACCACGATAAGAACTATCGACACGCAGACAGTCTATTGACCTTTTGTAGTACTTTAACCGGTAAACTTTGGTAGCGAATAAAGTTCCACCCTTCCATGAAGTACGTCGGAGAGTTCATTCACATTAGGATACTACCTGTAGGTACCTATTTTTTGTTTGTTCGTCAGCTGTTTTATAAATGGGTAACTTACCTGTGCAGCTTTAAGAACGCAATCAATTAAAAACTCGGCTCCAAACTATCGATTTTAAATATAATTCCTGATCACACACAGGCGTATAGAAACATCAATTAGTACCTACTTTTACACATGTACCTGTATTCTTTGTATAGGTTTATTTATGTAGATGTTTATATGTTTTATAATTATTAATTTCTACATCATGAAAGCAAAGCCAACTACAGACTCTCAGTTTTATCTGAACAGTTCGACTTTTTATTTAAAACTGAACTGGCAAATAATTGATTCATAAAACTTGATCTACTATAACAATATGAAGGATATATGTACTACGTTATGTTTAGATTAATTTACATATATTTATAAGGAAATTGTAATAGACATTTCTCTTACGTAATCTGCAATAACGTTGCAAAGTGACAATAACGAAAAACGTCAATGATCAACGTCATGCACATTAATAAATATCTCGAGATATTTACAACATCGATGTAGCATATCATCATCATCATCATCATCATCATCCTCCTCCTCCTCCTCCTCATCCTACCCCCGTAGGGTTGGCGCGACAGGTTTTTGTCCTCCAAATAACTCTATCATACGTCATCACTCCCTTTTTGAGTTTTTCTTAATTTCACGCGGAAAAAGTGACGCAACAGCTATATTAACTAAAGAATACCTTAATGACTGTCAAACTTCTATGAGTGTGGCAGACATCGAATACTATAATAAGAAAGTTAACAACAATATGTTTTTATATTACTATCTCGTATTTTGTATCGCTACATCTGCATTAGTACTCAACAATAGACAATTTTCTCTCCATCTGGTCCTCAATCAATAGGAATCAAGATAATCGAGTGTTCTACGAAATACGACGCGTGTGACATGCGCCGTGCTTCCCCGAATGATAGTTTCTTCATGCTCTCTATGTACAGTCGCGGAGAAAAACGTAAAGAAATTGTTTTCGCGTAAACTTTATTCATGACTAGCTGTTGCCGCGTATTCGTCCACGCAATGGTATGATAAAAAGTAGCCTATAATATGCCCGTCTATGTCAGCTATCCGCCAGTGAAATTCCGCTCGAAATCTGCCCAGCCGTTTCGGAGATCACCCAGAACAAAAACGGTCTGTGGACAGACAGAAAAAAATGTTTAAATGCGATTTTGTTATCGGCAACGCAAATTCATTTTTCCGAAATCTGTAATTATTATTTTGTTATTACAAACAGACATTCCAATTTTATTATATGTATATGCAGATGCGTTTCTAAGATTAACTTAAACAAAGAAAGAAGCCAGTTATGTGTAAATTTGTATTCATAAGTACTTCAATGCATACTATTGAGAAATTCCGAGTATAAGTAATGAGAATAACAAATAAGTATAGCAAGAAGAAAGAACAAACAATGGTATTTTTCAATAGTAATTGTTGAATGGATATTGAAATTCAAGTTTTAATAATGAATTAAAAAAACAATGAACGTCTATTTCTATTAACATTGCTATATTTTATAAAACATCGTTTGCTTTAACGTTTTTTAACTAATATAAGCATATTAGATCTATTTGCTTTGGTAATAAAAACACTTCAATTGACAATGCACACCATTCTTTAAAAATAATTTGTCAACTCAAGATTAACAATAACCAAGTTAAATGAAGGGTGATAATGCGTTTTTTGGTAGTTACAAGAATATTAGGAAAAATAATTAAATACGTAAGTGAACAAAAAAAAACTTAAGTTATTATGTACGTGATTGTACGTAGGGGAAATAGGGCCAGATGGTGTACATGTGGTAGCATTCATCCGCCATATTTCGTCAACGGGCATACAACAAAAGCGGGCACTTACCGTTGCCCAACAGTCGTTAAAACTTGGCGCCATTCATTATGACTTTCTGAATAGCTCTTAATAATATGATTGATTACTAGTTGTTCCTCGCTACTTCCTCTACGTGGAATCAAAAAGTATAAACCTAAGTTACTCAGCGATAACGTAGCTTTTATGGTAGAAGAATTTCTGAAATCGACCCAGTAGTTTTTGAGTTATTTTAGCACATACAAAAATCAGTAGTTTTTAAGTTATTTTAGCAAAAACAGAAATCTTTTCTCTTTATAATATTAGTATAGACTACTTCGTACTTGAAGTACCAACTATAATTGGAGAGAATGCGCGGTTTACACTTGGCCAGAACAGTTGGTCAATAGCGCTCAATAACTGGACTGGCAATCTACTGGCAACGCAAACTAGCTACGACTGACTGTTGTAATTTCCGACTGTGATGGCCAAACTTAAACCAGGCATAATGGATTATTTGAGTATAAGAGTAGCTCATTTTAAAGTGACTCTCAGCTGTATAACAGTGTTGTCTCCTTTTCTATCTCTTATAAAGAAGCGGAGTCAACAATAAAGATCCTATAATATGTTGCCACATCATAATTTACGGTTATGACAGTAAAAAACTTATAATAAAAACTTAATTCAACTGTCAACTTTAATTTACCTGAAAACGTATTTATTTATTTATTTATATAAATTCATAAATAACTTTCACGCTTTTGTAAATTACATTTTAATAAAACAATATTCGTGCGTACAAATGTCTGTGGTCATAAAATGCATATTCGAAAATCGTGACGTCAAAAAGAGAAACGTGTATCATCACCAGCTCACTATATGTCCCCACCGAGGGGCTCGGAGCCTACCCTAATACGGGGTGACTAGGCCATAGTCAACCACGCTGGCCAAGTGCGGGTTGGTTGACTTCACACATATCTTTGAATTTCTTCACCGATATGTGGAGGTTGCATCACGATGTTTTCCTTCACCGTAAGAACGTCGGGTAAGAAACGTGTATGAATAAAGCAAATTAATTAAATCGTTTGAACATCGAATATTCAGGGGAAGGAAACCGCTTATCGTATGGTAATTAATTAAGTTATCTGCTTTATGCTTATATGGTGATTTATTGGAAGTTAATATAATGTAAGCAGTATAAAATGTGTTCCGATGTATTCCAAGTTTTTTTTATGACATCTTCGTGTCGCCCTCTTGTTCCCCTAACACTTTTTAAGTCAGGGACCTGTGGAGCGGGTGTATCTTTATTTCTTTATTTTTAAGTTAAAACATAAATTTACATTAAAATCTCATTTCTATCTATGACAGTTTATATCACTTTATGTAATCCTAATTTAAAAACAATACAATACAATTAAATTTAAAATACAACTAGACTAGACGATTATGACTAGATTCGTGTTTTCAAGTTATTTAGACCCAAATAAATCTAATAACTATAAATAATTCTAACGCAATATTAAGATGAAGACTGATGTTTGATAAACAAAAATGAGGCCAGACTATAGATATGTGAATAGTTTTAAGAAATGTTTAAACAAACGAAAAAATTACAACGAGTTTTCCGCAAATTTCACAGGAATTCCCCTTGTTTATCTGCAATGGGATTTTTTCCCAGAACGCGTTAAAACACGTGTTTTATATTGGTGTTTAGAATAATTCTACATTCTTTACCGTAATAGCAGTACTCGTTGTGTTTACATCTATTTTCGTATTCCAAAGCGTTTCAAAATATTATGTTTTATTTAGAAGAGCAGGTCACCAATGTTATTAAAAAAGTTTATTACTATTAAACAAGCACAAACGCTACTAATCAATGTGTGCGAAGAAGTAGAATATTACTTACTATAGTATGGGATTATGTTATCTGTGCTCATTCTCCCTAAAAGAGACAACAATATTTTTTTGTATGGATCAGGTGAAATAAAATAAATGCCAGTTATATTTTTATTAGCGCCATCTGACTGTAAAATGACGTAAAAAACTGAATGAATTGAAAACGTATGGACAGTAAATAAATAAACTCTGATTTAATATTGAGATTAAATTACAAAGCGGTGAAAGCTTATTTTTATAATATATATACAATACAATGTACTTTATACATTTTTAACCTCTATCATAAACAACATGGCCGTCAAGGAAACCACTTTAGATTTATTGTGTAAACACATTTAGAAACAACACTAAACGCTTTCCGAGAAAACTCTCGCAAACTAATAAATTAACTCGGCCCAGTATTGCGTCCATTTCGAGGGCAATGGATTGAAGCTTTATTATAGACATGAAATTCCGCTGAAATACCGTTTCTAGTTTAATGTTGATTGATGCCTGGATCTTTTTTAAATTAGTACTTACATGTCGTCTCCGAGTATCTATACTATCTATACTCTATACTAATGTAATAAAGCGTAAACACGCGCTTATTTGTAGCCTAAGATGTCAGCAATCACAGCATATTTTTGAATAACTTTTTTTTTAATAAAAAGCCCTACAATTACGTCAAGCTGTAGGATATATATTTTTATGCCGTTAAACTTAAGGGTAAATATTTTGGATAAAAACCCTAATGAGGGAAAGAGACCAAGAAGCAACGTTGCCATGGTTTGACATCATGTCATGTCATTTTGACATGCAATTGATAATTTGACAAAAGTGAACAATAAAATGAAATTTTTATAA